AATAGTGATTCCTTCAGTCATCTCTGCCAGTTTGACAATTCGCGCCTTGCCAATGTGGCCTAATCGACGATGCCAGAGCTCAATTGAAGCCTCAGATTTTGGCTCCTGATTGGATTTCTTAGTGGCAAACGTCATTTCAGGCTTCAAATCTGATGCCTTTTGGGTTATAAAACCCCTTGTCTGGGTGAGCCATGATAGCTTCTGATCGTGGTAGATCTTATAGATCTGACGATGGCCATCAATTGTCTCAATGCAGTTTGCTCTGAGATTCATTAATAGGCCCCCCTTCATCATCAATCCATGAGATATCAGATTACTATGGAAGTTTGGCGAGTACCTAGTTTGAAATAGGTTCATCTTAACGGCGCTTCCAGTGGTAGGGTTTACACCATAGATGACCACAGTGCCTATACCGGCCACCTTCGTCTCTGTATCTCCCACTTTGACGTTGCTCTGTACGCTTTCAAAGGTGCTAAACAAGCTCCGATTGTTGCATACGTGGATTTGAGCACCTGTATCAACTACCCATCTGTCTTCTGTAGGTGTAGTTGTGGCTTCAAAATCCTTGATTTTTGTTGACATAACGGTGTCAATTTTGACTGCGTTGGTTGTCAAGAAGCCAAAGGCTTCATCGTCGAGGGTTGTATTCGCTTGCTCTTTAGCAAGGGTCCCCCTTGGCCTTCTGCATATGCAGCTCGCTTCTTGTCGACAATTGCCTTCCATCTAGGATTAGCCTTCATGGCCTTCTCCCACTTCTGTTTCAATGCCGGTGAGGGCTGGTAATTAGCAGGCCTTCTATCTTCATAGATTTCCCAGCAGGCCCAAGGCATATGAACTCTCGATTTTACCCTGCCACATGGACATGGCCTTCTTTCTAGGCCATCATTCCTTGCCTCTATAGGCTTTGCTTCTTCATTGCCTTGCCATGTCGAGAAAGCAGCCTTTGAGATGCCTCTTTGCGCAGCCGGCCTGCCATGGGTAATCTTCCAGTGGGCTTTGTACCGAGTCATGATTTCGAAGAAAGGGATGTCCTGATTATCCTGTACTCTGAGAGCCCATGTTTCATAGAATCCAGGCGACATTATAGAGATTGCTTCAAGGAATTGATTCGTGGCATCCTCTGCTTCTGGCATCCTTGCCTTCTTACACGATTGGTAAAGCGATTCCCAGTTTAGAAGCCATTTCTCGATATCGGTGTTCCGATCTAGGCCTCTATCTAGGTTCCGCCACTGTTGACGGAGCTTAGTTTTGTATGTAGGATCGCTCTCTGGTGCAAATCGTTTGTGGAGATTGAGCATCAGCTCCAAAGGTGATGGTATATCAATGATAAAGGGCTGGTAGGGAGTATCAACTGACTGCCTAATTGCCACCGCCACTAGATCTAATGCCTGTAGTTTCGACTGATAGGCTCTGTTCTCTGCATCCCAATCTGCTTTTAGGGATAGCCTCACATTGAACCAGTGTTCTGGGTATTCTTTTATGGCATCTTTGACAGAGATGATCTCTTCAGGTGGTTCCAATTTAGGACGTTCTTCCTCCTTAAGAGACGGATTGCATTGATCCCATACTTTATATGCAACTGCAATTGCTTTAATATATGAGAGCCATGCATCCCATGATTCTGTATCCTTCAAAATGACGCGGGAGGAGGCCGCGGAGAGGCTTGACATGATATTCATTATTGTCGATTTTCGTCGATGAATCTGATCTTCTTCGAAGGAGATAGGGGTGCTTCGACGATTCAGGGGTTGACCGTTGTCAAAACCACTGTGAATCGGCGACAGCTAGGTAAAAGATGGTCTATATGTTGTAGACAGATCTTAATTGGAACGAAGCCGGGCTCATAACTGACAGAAATAGACGGATACGACAATGTATGGTAAATCTGACATATGTAAATTCTCTAACTAACTAAAATGACAAGATCCGCTCTTTTCCAATCTCGGCGGACATAGCTGATTAAGCAATGTATGTATTTTTGTATGGTACCGTTATCATGACGGTCCATTGATTTTCCGGTTTGTAAAGACCTGGTAATTTCAGCATGCATAAATGCATAGTACTTGACACCTTGAAATAACCTTCGGAACCTTGAAACGTTCGAAAGATCGCCCCGGTCTGACTCATTTGGATTTCCATGATTTGCTCATAGTGTTTAGCCCTATTCCCCTTTTGTATCAGCTTGCGATCTCGCTTTTTCTCACGTGGAGTTCTACCGAGGCCATGAACATATAGCATTTTGCGGATTGTATCAATTCCATTTCACATATTTAATTGCTTATTCTTTCAGTTTATGGATATCAAGTAAAGCAAAATGTCGTTCAGTCCTACAGTTGTCCTGGTTGGTGCGCTTTCTGCAGCCTTCTTGGTGGTGCGCTACTTCGTACAGCTACATCACCACCGTACACAATCCAAAGCCCTACATTGCCAGCCTCCACGCTCAGGCTCCTCGGCCTTCTTTGGTATTCCGGGGTTTATTCGGTTGACTAAGGCTGTCCACGAAAAGCGCTGGATCGATCATCTCTATAACGAATATGCCGTCCATGGAAATACCTACAAACAGACATTCCTCTCTCGCAATATAATAACGACGAGAGAGCCCGAAAATGTCAAGGCAATTCTGGCAACCCAATTTAAGGATTTCACTCTTGGAACAAGACACCAACAATTCTACCCACTCCTGGGCGATGGCATCTTCACTCTCGATGGCGCCGGGTGGTCGCATGCGCGCGGATTACTGCGCCCGCAGTTCACTAGAGACCAGGTAAAACTTTATCGGAGGATTTATGCACGACACACGATTGACAAGAATGACAGGTCGCTGATATTTCCATGTTGGATGACCACATCTCCAACTTAATCGACTTAATCCCCAAAGACAGAAGCAGTTTCGACATCCAACGTTTGTTTTTCCTGTTGACCCTGGACTCGGCAACGCATTTCCTATTCGGGGAATCGGTCGGATGCATGCTTCCCCCTTCTGGAAAGACAGGTGTACTGGAAAAATGCGCCGTCGGTAGCGCACAGGGTTTCGCCGATGCTTTCGGAACCGCTCAGGATTATCTCGCTGCGCGAAGTCGTGCCCAGGGAATGTACTGGGTTGTCAATCCCAAGGAATTCCGTGAGGCAAATCGACAGGTGCATGAAGTCGTCGATCATTATGTCAACCTCGCTTTGGAGTCCAAACGTAACCCCGAAAAGAAGAACGTCGACGGTCGGTATATCTTCCTCGAAGCACTGGCGGCGGACACCGATGACCCCAAAATTCTGCGCGATAATATGCTCAATATCTTATTGGCTGGTCGTGATACAACGGCTAGTCTCCTGAGCTCGACTTTCTTCTATCTTTCCCGACATCCCAATGTGTGGAACCGGCTGCGCCGTGAGATCGTGGAAATCTTCGGAGATGCGAAGAACCCGCGGTCGGAAATGACTCAGACCAAGTTGAAGGATATTCCGTATCTGCGATATGTATTGAATGAAGGTGCGTCGATCATGCAGTGGATACTGTATACTCTGTTGTATACCCTGTCAATGGACACATGTCCAACTAACTTCAATCCAGTTCTTCGTCTCCAGCCTCCTGTGCCTATCAACTTCCGCGTCGCAACAAAAGATACTTCCCTACCGGTCGGCGGTGGTGCGGACTATCAATCCCCAGTTTATATCAAGAAAGGCACAATGGTTGCCTACAGCGTCTACGCTATGCACCGCCGGACTGATCTATGGGGTAAGGACGCGACTTCCTTCCGGCCCGAGCGCTGGGAAGAAAATGCTAAGCATGGATGGGAATACCTGCCTTTCAATGGTGGGCCGCGTATCTGTCTTGGTCGTAAGTTGTTGCATGTTCTTGTCTTTCTCCAGAGAGACGGAATTGAAGAACACCTAGAATGGCCGGCTAACAACAAATTCTCTTAGAACAATATGCCCTCACTGAGGCAAGCTACACTGTTGTTCGTCTGATGCAGCACTTCGATACCCTTGAAAATGCGGACACCCATCCTCGACAGGAGCCTATTAAGCTATCTAATCTGACGATGTCGCATGATCTTGGAGTGCCTATCCGTTTGTACTCTTCGGATAAGATTTAAGTTCCTTGGTTTCTATTATGATTGAATGTGTATAGTTATGGATTTTGCAAGTGAGGAATACCAGTTTCTAATACTTTGGGGATCCGCTGTTAGGGTATTCTAGAACCTATTCCTACCTACCTAGGTAGTCTCACTCTTTCGGTCGCATGGTCCGATAATACAGAGTAGGAAGATATGATTCAATATTTATCCACTCATCTCAAGAGCCATTATCGCAGAGAAATTATTACATTGAGAATCCTTTTATCGGTCTTTCTAGACGTCCTATTTGCATGTCCTTTTTTACCCTGGTTTGGTTGTAGTTCGAAAGACGATTGGAAATGCATAGCCGTGAACCGCAGAGTAACGATGAACAGCATGGCTCTTGAAAATAATTTTTTTATTTACACGTGATATTTGGGATATTACAATAGATAGATATACGATCGATTTATAAATGCTGTTATGTTCAATAATGTTGAGACGGTATTTCTGCCTGGGGCACTAATCCTATAACCTCTTGCTTCTCACCCTTCCTCGTTCTCTCGGCCAGCATCCCAATATCTCAACTCTCCGTGTTTACTTTCCCATCTTACCTTCTCCACAAATTATTTTCTGCCAAGTGCGATCTAGGTGACTACTCGATCAAATACCACGTATCGGAACCCATTGTCAGATTGCCGCTATCATGTCCTCGCCTGGTCGCACTTGTCACACTCGCAGCAAGTCCCAGATATGGACCCGTGAATACAAATCTCAGACTTACTGGAGCATAGCTATGCATTATGCCCAGCTGTCTCATGAGGCTTGGCAATACGCTAGCCTCAAATCTCAAGCTAAAGCGGGGCTAAAGCTTTCTATCATTAGGCCCCAACCTTTGTTGACCTTTCAACCTGTACCAACATTGTTCGCAAGTGGACAGTGAGTGGGATGTCCTCTTCAGACTCCGACGGGCATGACGCCATTCTGGTCGGCCTAGATGATGTTCGTGACTTCAACCTGGACAACATCCTTCCTCTCCTTCCCGCCGACATCCTTAAGATCAGGAAATGGCTTCAGCCAACCGCATATGACCTAGAGAGAAGTGAATACTCTAGACATCGTCTCTCATATCTTGCGGGAACTGGAAAGTGGTTCACTTCCACAACAACATTTCAACAGTGGCACCAAGGCGACGAAGATGGGCTGTTGTGGGTCAAGGGTGTCCCAGGCTCCGGCAAGTCTGTCCTAGCTGCTTCAATCATCAATCAGTTACAAAAAGATGGCATTCCAGTCATCTTTTTCTTTTTCAGGCAGATCATCGACGCCAACCATCAGCCGGTGTCCGCTCTGCGGGATTGGTTATGTCAACTTTTGGATTACAGCCCTGCTCTGCAAGTCAAGCTGAAGAATTATATTGACGACCACCGTGGTTTGGACAGCTTGTCCCCAACCGATCTCTGGAAAGACCTGAAGCTGGCACTGGCCACATTCCCAAGGGTCTACTGTGTCACGGACGCTTTGGATGAGATGGACCAGGGGAACGATGAGTTCCTCCACGCTTTGGTGGATTTGGGCCAGTGGCGCCCGTCTAATGTCAAGGTTTTCATCACGTCGCGCCCAGTATCAATAGTAGAGAATTCCTTGAGGTCATTCTCCATTCCCCAGATTCGACTGGAAGAGAAACTCGTCGACCTCGACATCGCAGCCTATGTACAACACAAACTTCGCCACTCATCGATCGCTCCTGAATCCTGGAGTGTCATAGAGGAAGCTATTCCCGGTCGGGCGAATGGGCTGTTCTTATACGCCAAGCTTTCAATGGATGCATTTCTTGAGCCAGGTGCCGATGTAAATGAGGTGCTCAAGGCATTGCCAGCTGACTTGAACGTCATGTACAATAATCTGTTGCACGAACATGCAATACGCTCGGCTGTTCCCGAGGATTTGCAACTTCTTGTGTTGCAGTTTGTCACCCATGCCACACGCCCTCTTCGTATTCTCGAGATCGCTGAAATGGCAAAAAGCCTCCAAGGCCCAGCTACAGATCGCAGCCTGAAAGATACGAAAGACTTGGTGCGGGCTGCTTGTGGCCCGCTGCTTGAAATCCTTCCTGATGAGACGGTCTCGGTCGTTCACCACTCATTCACCGAGTTCTTGAAAGGATTCACTCGTTCTACTGAATCGGATGATACGACATATCCGATCCTTCAATCGGGCTTAACAAACAAATGCCTGGCTATTGCGTGCTTGGAGTATCTCCAGTCTGGCTGCCTGGCCGATCAAGAAATGAAGGAAACTACCGACAAATGGGGATTTTTCGGCCGCAAAGATGGCAAGCAAAGAGAACTGAAGCTCCGGTTCCCGTTCCTAGAATATGCAGCACATAATTGGTACATTCACATCCGTCGCGCAGTCTCAGCGGGTGAAGATATGGCACTTGTCTACACCATGCTTGATGCTTTCTTTGCGGAAAGTCGGATCTTCACCGGTTGGCGAGTTATGGCATGGCCGCAAGGTGCAACCCGGGGCATTGTCGCGCTTCATGTCGCTGCGTGGGCTGGCTTGTCTGGATACGCCACCCACTTGCTTGAAAGAGGATGTATCATAGAAACACGAGATGCTCGCGAAAACACAGCGTTATACTGGGCTGCCACTTCCGGCCATCACAACGTGGTACAGGCTTTGCTTGCCAAAGGAGCTGACCCCAATGCAGAACATGAGGAAGGATACAACGCCCTGCATATGGCAGCTAAAAATAATCACGCCGCAGTCGCCAAACTTTTGCTCACTGCTGGCGTTGACCCGCTCACCCCCAAGACTAAAGAGGCCCCCGGAAGGATGTGTGGGAACGCACCCACATCACGTGGAAATACACCTCTCATGTACGCATGTTATAATGGCCATGCGGAGACGGTGGCCGAGTTTCTACCTTTTTTGAAAAGCATTCATACATGTCACCAAGCCCTTTGCTGGGCGGCCAATGCAGGGCAATGTGCAGTGGTTGAGTTGATCATTCAACACCCCGGTGTCGATGTAAATGAGACATGCCGAGGGAAGAATGCTCTTTTTGCAGCTTGCTGCGGCGGAGGAGATGTAAACACCATTCGTGCATTACTGCGAGCGGGAGCCGATCCAAACATATTGTGTGCACACACAGAAAAAACGATGCCTAGGCGCATGCGCAGGTCAAACAATCATACGGATCAAGATCCTACCAGAGGGGATACCGCTTTACATGCCATTTGTGGATCGGGCAAGATTCAAGGCACAGTCTCGCCGGCGGGCGTGGATTCTCTGCTTCAGGCAGGGGCCAATGTTCATGTACGAAGTCCTGTCGGCAAAACGGCCCTGCACTATGCCTGCGATTACCACAAAGCAGATGTGGTCAAGATGTTACTCGAAGCCGGTGCAGACCCTACGGCAGAAGACGATTATGGGGCTACACCATTACACACAGAAGGAAGTAGAGACGAAGAACTCCTTCCTGTGCTTTTGGGAACAGGTGTAGTCGATATCAACAAGGCCATTGGGAAGACTAAAAAGACACCATTATTATTTCGGCTTGAGGGCTTTAATAGGAGGCGAATACTTGCCTTCTTGGAGTATAAGCCTGATGTCAATATCGCTGACACCTGGGGCAATGGTCCGCTACACAAGGTTCTCGCGAACTATGATACTCACAGCGGTGTTATCGACGCCTTGATATCTCTGGGCGCCAATCCAAATGCGATGAACAAGGAAGGCAATGCCCCGTTGCACACCATGAATGATAAACATAGCCCATTCATTTCCAAGCTCGTTGATGCTGGTGCAGACCTTGAAGCTCGAAATCACGATGGCTATACAATTCTTTTCAAACATGCCAACGAAGAGCCCTTTCAGACCTTGATTGATCTAGGTGCTCGCCTCGATGCGCGGGACTCTACTGGCCGAACTCTGTTGCATCGATGTTGCACTAACACCGATCGCTTGGACTATTTGATAAGTCTCGGCCTTGATCCTTTGGCCACAGATCACCAAGGCAACTCGCTTTTGATGGAAGTTGCCGCTACCAGAAACTGCACACAGATCGCTATCATGAAACATCTGGTAGGACTAGGTTTGGACATAGATAAACCAAATCATCGTGGGAGGACTGCTCTGCATGTCCTGTGTGCTGGGGTCAACCTTTCATCCTCGTCAGGAGAAGAGAGTAGTTTGGATTATGTGCTTGGAGTCTGCAAGAGCGTTAATTCTAGTGATTGTCAAGGTGTTCAGCCCTTACACCTCGCCGCCACAATATCCGAGTCCCACGTTGTGAAGCTCCTCAATGCCGGTGCGGACATGTTCAAAGTAACAAACGAAGGGATGTCAGTACTCCATATAGCAGCCCGCACCCGCCAGCCCAATATCGTGGCACTCTTCTGCTCTAGACTTACAGCACTCGGAGCAGAAGAGAGAACTGCATTTGTGAACCAACAGACCACCGAAGGGCAAACAGCCCTCCACTATGCCTGCCGTTCAGGTCGCCCTGAGACCGTCCAAGAATTGCTCAAAGCCGGCGCCGATCCCACCATACTAGATAGTGCAAATCGTTCACCTTTTAGAGCATGTGCACAGTTTGAGGCAGAAGAACAACTATGGAGCGGTCGTAGGAAGGTAACGCGGACGAACTACCTTCACGCAGCTGGCGTCCTAGTGCGCGATCACCAACGGCCGTTCTTTGATCTCCCTGATAAAGATTACGGCGTAGAGAATACGGAACATGATACAGTTCGTCTGGATGAGATTCTGGATTTACTTTTCCTCCATGGAGCCCTCTCGTCCTGTAATGGTTGGTGTCACGAGACGTTTAATGAGGCTGCTTCGAATCGGTACGAATACACTATGGGTGCCCTCTCAAGACTGAAATCTCGTCTTCCCGGCGTGAGACGATCTTATCTCTATGGGCTCAACTATGTTATTTGCAAAGCCCGTCTAGATGCAACAAAACAAGCGTTCAGAGAGTATGACAAACATACCTTTACATCATCCCGTGGGGGTGATTACGCCCCCTTTATGAGAGAGTTAATGTTCGCCAGGCAGTACGACTTGTTTGAAGAGGGAGCAGAGAAGAGGCTTAGTGTCTCCAAACTCAGTCGCTACGATACCTCTTTAATGCATTGTCTTGCGGGTTGGGGATATAAAGAGCTGCTGGAACGTGTTTGTGATAAGGATGCTGCACTGAGGTTTGATGACCACAAATGGTGCCAAGAGGCAGAAACGGAACAACGGTACGCTGGAAAGCCTACGCAGCCTCTACTGGTGACTGCATGTGATCGCAATTTGCCAAACATGGATGTGGTGGAATTCCTTGTTGAGAAGGTCGGCGTCAACATCAATGCACAATTCAGAACCTCAGTATGGGGGGATACCATCAAAACGGCCGGAGGGGCCCTTCATAAGCTCGCGCTCGGGTACAGCTGGTGGCAGGTTTACAAAGCATTGCCATATTTGATCAAAAAAGGGGCAGACCTTGAACTGCGTAGTGAGGATGGGGCGACACCATTACACGCAGCCATGGATCCCAAACATGGCCCCTTCCGCAGAGATGCCGTGGAGACTCTCATCAAGTGTGGCGCAGACGTCAATGCCGTGGATGGCAAGGGAGAGACATGTTTGTCAAAAGCCAGTAATGATCTACAGATGACCAGGCTACTCATGGATCATGGCGCCCATATTAGTGCAGCGGCCATTTTTTCTGCGATCTCAATGGGCGAAATTGAGATATTGGAAACATTGCTGTCACGGGGTGATTACGCAAATCTCAGGCGACCCGAGCCAGCTATCCCTCGGAAAAAAGGCAAACTCAAGCCCAATATTCTTGATTCCGAGGTCTCACCTCTTCTATTTGTCGCTATCCCTGATCTGCGATACATCAATTCTAACTATCACAAGCCACTATCTCGCTCGAATGTGGATGAGAATTTACTCGACACCCGTATCATGACAATACTACTCAATCACGGCGCAGATCCATTTGCCACATATGTTGGGGAGCTCTCATGTCCAAAATACATGAAGAAACCAGACTCAAGCCTGGATGAGCCTGGTATATCGCACCCGCAGATTGAACCCCAAAGGCACACTATCATCCATGAAATTCTGAAATCAAAGCACATAAGTGGACCATTCTTTCAATTGCCATCGTTAGAGCTTGAGCGACGGGATTCAAGCGGTTGCACATTGCTTCTTGCAGCTTCCCAGAGCCAAAACACACTGAACACCAAGGTCGATTTTATTGAAGCTGGGACAACCATCACAAAGACTATTTTCCAAGAGCTCATCGACCGTGGTGCAAATGCCATGGCACAGGACAACGATGGCAATACCATCCTCCACCATCTGAAATCCTTCGGGGCCGACTCAGAGTGTTTCAAAACTCTCAAGGAAGTTCTCATCAAGAATCCGGGTCTTCTCAATCAGTCGAATAAAAAGGGTGAAACATTCTTTCGCCGCATCCTGATTTCAAAAGACTTCGATCTTATTGATGATCTTCTTAAACTGGGTGCTAATCCTCTCCAGCCGGACCTGGACGGAAACACGGCGCTTCATCATTTGGCTGGGCACCTCCACCTCGACCAGTCCCAGGCTCACTTCAAGCTATTACTAGAAGCGGGTGTAGATATCAACTCTCGCAACAACAAGGGCGAGACACCTCTCTTCAAGTATATCGAGAGTGACTTGATAGCTCCCTGGAGCTACCAGGATGGTCATTCTTGTGAAAAGAAGGATAACGTCACCGACGCCATCTTCAACGTCTTCGACGAGGCTGGAGCTGACTTCTTTGCACAAAACAATGCAGGCTCCACATTGCTCCATCTGTTGGCCTCTCGGAAGATAAGTAGCTGGTATCCTGCGAAATCCACTCACAGTGTGGTCCGGCGATTCCAGATTCTGATGGATCGTGGACTTGATCCTTTGGCCGAGGATGCACGCCAGCGGACCAGTTTGGATGTTGCTGCTGTTTGTGGTAGTGATTATATCATGAAATTGTTTGCGCGAAAGCCTATGGAGTAGAATAGTTTGGGGGAGAAGCGGCAGCAGGGGAGTCGCGTTGTGTGGAAATACTAGTTGGGAATCCCTGTCTGCTTATATATAGAAGTATCATCGAGAAACGACAGCGGAGTCTTGAACCTTCAATCCCTCCCTTGGTCTTTCTCTCGTTCTTTCTCTCCCCTAAAAACCTCAAATCCTTCTCTTTTTCCATGTCGACCGGGATATAGTAGGTAGGTCCCTACAGATGAGTGGCCGAGTTTACCATCGCTCCGTCGATATCATATACCGTTCGTGTCTAGTAGTAGTGTAGGCTATGATGGACGAGGAATTGGAGAGTTAGGTGCCAGCTAGATCAACTAGATAAACAAGGATTAGTGTAATCTTGTAGGATCGAAACCTACAGGGATCAGGGCTCGCGGTCACATGTTGCGGGGCTATTTCTACGGTTCTTTTGATTAAAATTCTCTAAAGGACAGTTATTCGTCCACCCCCTTTATCATAACCAAGCACTCTCGGGTTCGAGTAGCACATTCATCGAATCTGCAATGGAGAAATACACCATTCCTATTGAAAAGGCTGTCGAACTGACGCCAGTGTCTTCGGAACCAGTAAGCCCCTTTCTTTCTTTGATTGACGTTGCTTACTACTTGGTCATATGGATCTGGAAAGTACTTAATTTCTTCTCCAGGATAACTTCACTAACGTTCAACCGCTGTGGAGCTTCGCGGGCGGCTATGGAGTCTACGGCGGATCAACTGTTGCCCATTGTCTTGTGGCCGCTCAAAAGACCATCCCAAGCGACTATGTCGCCCACTCTCTCCACTGCAGCTTCGTCAGTCCCGGTAATCCAAAGCGACCGATTGAATATCGTGTTGAACGTACGCGCGATGGAAAAAGTTTCATCACGAGGACTGTCCACGCCACCCAGAAAGCCGGGGTGATCTCCGAGGCAATCGTTAACTTTATGCGGGCGGGAACATACAGTAATAACAGTGATATTAACAACGAAGGAACACTAAAACATGGGAGAACAATGCCCAAGGGCTTGGCACTACCCGATCAAGAAGAGATGAATGGGAAGGGGGTAGATGGGCCGTTTGAGGCTCGCTGGGGGAAACCCTGAATCGTAAGTCTTTCCTTGAACCTAGCCATGATTGAAGCTTATTTTCTCTTCGTTTTTGTTTTCATTCGAGTCTAAGATGATAAATAGAAATATCTCACGACCTGGTCAACACTCAGATCCGATACTGGGTACGGGCCAAGGACACCATCCAGCAAAGCAGTCCTCACACCCAGCTCGCGGCGCTGGCATACATGTCAGACGCATATTTTATTGGTGCCGCAGTTCAAGTACATGACCTATCGGGTCAAACATTCGGGACTAAAATGGCTATGGCAGCTAGTCTGAATCATGCAATTTACTTCCACCACCCCGAAGCGGTGCGGGCGGATGAGTGGATGTGTTCCGAAAGAGAGAGCCCGTGGGCTGGCAACGATCGTGCGCTGGTTATTCAGAGGATTTGGTCTTCTAACGGGATTTTGGTGGCCACATGTGTCCAAGAGGTATCCATTTGTTCTACCTTCTCTTCCCCCGTGGACTTCTTACGTTGCTTATGCCATTTGCGCTGGATTACTGACCAGCCCATACCCAGGGACTCTTGCGTGTCCAAGTGCCCTCCGAGAAGGTGAAACTGTGAAAGATCTGTCTCCGGTTGATGGGGCGATCGGCGACATCCTCAATTCTAGTCCTAGTAATTCGTTGCGGCTACCGGGAGAATTATGGCTTGCTCTTGCTACATAGGCCGCACTTTCTTGCCCTTACTGGGAGTTAGACTAATAATTTAGTTACAGATGTTGCAGCAGACATGTTATCATTTATGTTTAATAATATATTCGAGGTTATACCTTCTCCTAGCGCTCATAATGGTACTAGGAATTGGGAAGGTTAGACCTATGTAGTCATTAAGGTAACCATTAAGATATGCGCCGAACTTGGAAACAAAGAAAGTAAGTCACCCTAGTATGGAAAGATACGTCAAGAAATGAAGAATTCCTAATATTTCTATTTATGAAAATTAATTTTGAAACAACACAATGGTGCACAAGAGTGATTGAAGCGTATGCAACCGGGACACACTGGGTTAAAAGGGCAGAGAGGTGCGCGTGGAGAAAAGCTGCAAATCTTTAACAGCTAATAGGGCTATTAGTGTATCGAGTGCTCCAGATGAAGCTTTAACGGGAATTAAAGTTGCGCAAGATCAGCAAAAGTGACAAGCGCACATATGCCGATCCCCCTGGATTCGACACGGAGGTCGCGCGCTACCTCCGCGGGATTGAGGCTTTATTAACCTATATTCTTGAGAGGATCCTGGATAAGCTGTTATGTGACTTATATTTATAATAAGAGAGGAGCGATATGGGGTTTCCAGTTAGTATACAAGCAAGGCCAAAAAGGCATGCGTCGACAGCGAGAAGAATTGGGACCCCGAGTAATAACAGTGCAAAACCTGGAGCTATACTAGAACCAGCAAGCTGTAGCACGCATGAAAAAGGGGTAATGTTTTACTGTCATAGTTCCCTCCAACTTCTCCCAAAGGTGGTCCTAGATTGTAGGATTGCTGTAGGTTAGGAACACACCGAGAAGACTTGGCACGTAGGTAGGTAGGAGAGTGTATGTTGTAGTCTGAAGAAACTATTATGCTGGAGTTTTAATGGATGCTCAAATAAATTAATTGGGACTATTGGCGATGGAGATGTTGAGAAATTTTCTTTTGTTCGACCCCATCAAGAAGTTGCTGTCATTCCATATCGTTCTAGGATTGTCATTTAACCAAGGGCTCGCCTGTCGCGCAGGTGTCTTTTTGACTTGTTACACAGAAAAATAGGTTTTTCCACTGGGATTCTATTGGGGTATCTTTTAGTCAGCGCGTTGGGGTTTCCCCTAGGGAATAAACGATGCCTGGTGGAGCTGCTTGGTATAATTTCACAAACACCTCAGGCTGTTTACGCGTTGCATGATGTCTTATTTTACGCTGTTTACATTTTACATCAGCGCAATTCAATCGCTAAGGGCAAATATATACTCACCTTCCCCTATACTGTAGTCAGCCATGTGCATCAACGGACAGCTGGCCCGCAGATGCTGATGTGCCAACCTCCACTCCTGGGGACTCAAAGTTTTGGTTTTTGGTCTCTAGTGTAACAAGTTATACTATTGAGTGGTAACAGACAAGCAGTTTTGAACAATGGTGTATTTGATGATCGTTCAAGTTGGGTTGGAAGGACTTAAGATTCCTACCTCTCAATCCGCGTCAATGATATCCAAATTCTCCCCTTGTCTTTCTTCTTACTTTACCTTATTTGCTCTCGGTCTGCCAAGTGGATAATGGACTCAACATTGACCAAATAACCAAATCTTGGAAGACCGATGGGGAAAGTACAAAATGTCACCTGCATAGGCATGTGGGTACGAACGAATATTGGATCTCTTTATCCCCGACGCCACTGCGAAAGAACGAGGTATTATTGTCTTTATTTCCTGAGAAAGTGGAATCAAAAATGTCCAAATGAGTTCCCACGCCGTAACTTCGGAGTCTCTCATGCCCGTCATAGACATGTCATCACCAGACTTTGTGATACGTCGTGATTGATGCACCTAAGCATTATGGGCGCTAGCTACATGCAAGTATCGCCTAACAGTGGGGAAGCTCGGGCTTTATCGATCCCCCAGATGGGCACCTATGAGGCCTAACATTGAGCTATCAACTTGTACGCCCAGGTTTGAAGAATCTCATAATCTTTCATTCCCACCTTTGTTTTCTCAATCCTTCAACCTGAGACACTCCAAATTGAGTAGAATCATTGAGAATTCCACATATACAAGAGGGTCATAGAACCTTGTACTCCATGTTTTGTTTGTATCGGCGAAATTGTCAGCCGGGGTTTCCCCGCGGTTTTACCGTCGGGTCACGGAAACTGCCGACTACGTTCAAAGAGGAAATGAACAACGCAACTCGGTCCATATTCATCGAGAGGCTATGTTCATTGGCTGATGTCTTCATCTAATCTCGGTCAATTTATCCTGGGCATGTCAGACATATAAAAGTCTGTATATCCCGGGGAAAGCTCCAGGAGCTATCCAAGATCTACATACACTATGAAGCTCTCAAGTGTAATGACCGTCGGTTTGGCAAACCGGGCACTGGCTGCCAATTCTGCTGCCTCCCCGATTGACTACAACTCAGCTCCACCAAACCTGTCTACCTTGGCGAATGCAAGCTTGTTCGACACCTGGAGACCCAAGGCCCATCTCCTCCCTCCATCTGGGAAGATCGGCGATCCATGCGGGCAATACACCGATCCTAAGACCGGTCTCTTCCATGTGGGTTGGCTGCACGACGGAATTGCAGGAGCTACAACCGATGATCTCGCCACCTACAAGGACCTCAATCCTGATGGAGCTCCTGTAATTATCGCCGGAGGAAAGAACGACCCTCTTGCTGTCTTTGACGGCTCCGTCATTCCCAGCGGTATCAACGGCTTGCCAACCCTGCTGTATACCTCTGTCTCCTATCTTCCAATTCACTGGTCCATCCCCTACACCCGTGGAAGTGAGACACAATCCTTGGCCGTCTCCCATGACGGTGGACGCAACTTCACCAAGCTCAACCAAGGCCCTGTGATCCCCACACCTCCCTTTGCTGTCAATGTCACCGCCTTCCGTGACCCCTACGCTTTCCAAAGCACCATTCTGGACAAGTCTGTCAACAGTACTAAAGGAACCTGGTATGTCGCCATCTCTGGCGGTGTCCACAATGTCGGACCTACTCAGTTCCTCTACCGTCAGAATGACGCAGACTTCCAGTACTGGGAATATCTTGGCCAGTGGTGGAATGAGCCCGTCAATACAACTTGGGGCAACGGTGACTGGGCCGGTGGCTGGGGCTTCAACTTTGAGGTTGGCAACGTCTTCGGTCTGAATGCAGAGGGTTACAGCGACGACGGTGAAATCTTCGTTACCCTCGGTACTGAGGGTTCCGGACTTCCCATCGTTCCCCAGGTCTCTTCCATCCACGATATGTTGTGGGTGACTGGAAATGTCACTAATGACGGCAACGTCACCTTTAAGCCGACCATGGCCGGTGTGCTTGACTGGGGTCTGTCGGCCTATGCTGCTGCAGGCAAGGTCTTGCCCGCCAGCTCTCAGGCGTCCGAAAAGAGCGGTGCCCCCGATCGTTTCATCTCCTACGTCTGGCTCACCGGTGATCTCTTCGAGCTAGTGAAGGGATTCCCTACCGCCCAACAAAACTGGACCGGTGCTCTCTTGCTGCCGCGTGAGCTCAACATTCGCACTATCCCCAATGTAGTTGACAACAAGCTGTCCCGCGAGTCCTTGACATCGTGGCGTGTGGCCCGCGAAGGATCTGGTAAGGTCGATCTCGAGACAATGGGAATCTCAATCGCCCGGGAAACTTACAGTGCTCTTACATCCGGCTCCTCGTTTGTCGAGCCTGGTAAGACCTTGTCCAAGGCTGGTATCGTGCCTTTCAACACCTCGCCTTCAACCAAGTTCTTCGCTATGACAGCGAACATCTCTTTCCCGGCCTCTGCTCGTGACTCCGGTATTCAAGCTGGTTTCCAGGTCTTGTCCTCTGGTCTGGAGTCTACCACTATCTACTACCAATTCTCCAACGAGTCCATTATCATCGACCGCAGCAACACAAGTGCCGCATCGAAGACAACTAATGGAATCCTGAGTGACAACGAGGCAGGCCGTCTGCGTCTCTTTGATGTCTTGGAAAATGGAAAGGAGAAGATTGAGACTTTGGAGCTCACCGTCGTGGTGGACAGTGGTGTACTGGAAGTCTATGCTAATGGGCGCTTGGCTCTTGGTACCTGGGCTCGGTAAGTTTTTTATTTTTTTCTTTTGTTTAGCGAGATTGATCAACAACTAACAACATCCAGGTCTTGGTATGCCAACTCGACTGATATTAACTTCTTCCACAACGGTGTTGGAGAGGCAACATTCGGTAACGTGACGGTCTTCGAGGGACTGTATGACGCCTGGCCACAAAGGAAGTAAACGACAACACTGCGTCGTTGAATAGCCTCAGCAAGAGTCTTTGGTGCGGTTTTTATATATACAGACACAAGAATAGTCGGCCGCCCATGCGGCGTTTGTCCTTGTTGAAGTAGGACTTACATAATTTGATATAATTAGCCCAAGACGATATTACGGGTGTTATATGTAAGAACGTGGCGATTTGTTTTAAATATTCTCTTCAGATATCGTTCTAAATATATACGAAGGCCGCAGAAGGTATAGACCAACCAGATAGAGGACTGTTTGATAAAGCCTCATGGGTAGGAAATCTGTTACCTCTGCATTCTGCAATTCCCGGCAACATGTGTCTGGGTATCTCAGAATGAGAATTTGTATGAGGGCTGGGTTTGGGCTGTAAAACAAGCGAGCACCAGAAATGGGATCAAGTAGCAGGACCCCTTAATCCTTACTCTAAAGAAGAAGGATCAATGATAAAAATGAAGTATTCGAATGTTTCGAGAGCGTCGAGATCGAATGCTTCCCACTAGAGATGGCTTGCATTTCCTTTTTAATTCCTTTCTTAATGAACAAGAATAGATAATCACCTATGCGGTCTTGTTATATTCTTTTGGTCATTTTTTTGGATACCATTCTCAACCCTTACAGGTAGATGACGGGCAAAGGGTTTAACTTGTGAAATGAACTTTTATATGTATAACCTTCGATAATATAACGGAGTGAAATATAATATGTACAATATTCGAAGGCGGAAAGAAGTGTAAGATATATGGATCTTTCCGTGGATGCGGGGATGGATGTGTATAGTTGTACACACATTGCACCTGCGAGAGGCTAGGATAGATGAAGTCGTTTGTCTATTCATCCTATTATAGCTAGTTATAGCTATTAATTTCTATAGATGCTCAATAAGGTTGTGCTATGTTTAGATGCATGGAAATATAAGCCGTAGTTTGGTAAATTGAGGCACAAGTCGTCGTTTCATTTCAACCGTTCTGGATATGAAGAAAGCGATTTTGGCCAATGATATTGTAACCAGCGCCACAGAAACAAACGGTCAAGCAATTTGGCAGATATACTTCAAAGAAAAACTATTTTTATATTCGAAAGTAGCCGTTTAAGAGGAAATTGAAATAGAAATGCAACGGGGTGATTTAGTAACCCCATAACAAGGCTCTTCGCCTAAAAGAAACACAAGAAATTGGATTTGGCCCTGTCTTTAGCGTTCAGTAGTGCTGACACTTTGTTGGGGGCGAAAGGGTCGCTGAAGAGCCCACGCCAAATCACTATGTAGATCGCACTGTTAGCATGTACAGTTAACCCACTTCAGCTTGACGATCTGAAGCCCAGACTTGCACGATTTGGCTCCACATTTAAGCCCCCGACATTTGAAACCAATAAAATCATTCAGTACAATTTGTACAATATATCTTTTTGCGGGATAATTTGTCTCTCCTTTCCCCATATATCTAGCAGCCAAGACAAACAGCTATTAATGCCTTCCAACGCTGCGTCATTGACAGGCACCAACGACGGATATTCTACTCAAATTGCCTCAATTGGAATATGCCCAGTGATACTGGATATTATAGATCGTCTCATGATGTCATCTGACAAGAGGTGAAGGAACCTCAGGGGTGTGACTCGGGGCAAGTATAAAAGACCTCTGAATGGCACCTACAAGAGAAGAATATCAAGAACAACAAATTCTCTGATATCTTCTACTCTAGAATCTCAATTTCCACAAAACAACCATGCCTTCTCTCCGCAACGTTCTTCTTTGCCTAATGGCTACCTCTACAACTGTCTACGCCGAGCGCTTGAAGGTTGTCTGGTCAAACGGTGATTTTTCAACAATCTCCGGTCCCGCCGGTGGTAATACCAATGGCCACTACACAGGCTTCGCGATCCTGAATGAGGCCGGTGAAGCTGTCTACGACCAGGCCTATCCCGATGACCACTCCCCATGTTACAACACTGGTGACGGCCGCGAGTTCACTATCGAGGGAGACTGCTGGGCGACCCCGCGCAAGTTCAAGTGCAAGGCGGACTTTGGAGGCCACCCTGACACCTGCGAAGTCAAGGACGGTGATGGGAACAGCCTCGGTAGCTCCAAGGGACAGACAGATACGACTTTCATTGGTATCGCTATTGGTCAGGACGCAAGTTGTGTTGTTGAATTTGATTCTGACAGTGATGGTTGTCCTGTTGATGATGGCAACGGTCCTCTTCACGTTACCTCGGGCTAAACGCTTTTTACAATTTCGTGAGGGATTGGGAGGCCTTGCAAATGTTGAAACCTCTCTTTTTTATCTGTATATATGGGTTCTGTATATATGAGTGGGATTCTAACCCCGAAATCGAAGAATGTCGTTTGGAGTACCTGTAAATTGCCCAAGGTGCCACACTAACAACATCAACATATGACAATCTATTTGAGTCATGTTCGGAATTACACTATGGCTGTAGAAGACGAGTCAATATGATAGGTGATATGCAGAGAATATGTATTAACAAGCAATAAAATCGAGCATAGCCCAACTAGTCTGACAAAACCATATTAAATCTAAATTGGAAATCTATCTCCAAATAACACATTTTGGAACCACAGTCATGTCTGAGCAAGATTGACACTTTTCCAGCGGCCCTGTCCTGCTGGCGCGCTAACCTTGAATTAAATCTATTATTGAGGGAATAGTTGTGCAAGGACCTTTCCCACTTCCCCAAAGAATCGAAATGCATCACAAATTGGCCAAAATCACCAACTGATGTTACATACCAACGAGCTTGCCCTAATGGCCAAATATTAGACGATGGCCCGAAGCTCTCTGTTCTGTACCAGACGCGCGGCAATCAAAAGGACACCACCCAGTAACAAGGAGACCCCTGAATATACCGATAGGGAAAGATACCCATATTTTTCAACTAGAGCACCACTGATGGGCACATTGGCCATAGCACTGCGAGTCATGTTAGCATATCCCATTATTCTTTCAAGAAATGGTAGTCATACGATAAAGCTGTAGAGCCTGACACAGTCCCAATTGCCAAACCAAGAGTGGTAGAAGTAGCAACCTGAGCGGCACAAGCTTGCTGTAGGGATAAAATGCCCTACAGTTCTAGTTAGTATTTGAAGGTTTATCATCCCAGGATAACTCACTCCAGATGCAAAGCCGTATGCAGCACACCAAATTACCAGGCCAGCCACAGATGTCACCTTGGTCCAGCACAATGCAATGATCCCTGCGGATATAGTGGCAATGATGCAACAATTGAATTTTCCGTACTTGTCAGCAACAATTCCGGGGAGAACTCGGCCAGGGAACGAAGCGCCATTCACAATAGAAACTGTATAGAATGCCAGGGATGTCGAGAATCCTTTCTCAACTGCGTAGGAGGTTGTGTAGAAGAACGGCGAGAACATGCCAAAGTATATAATGAACACCGCAAGGCATAGTAGCTGCAACGATGGCTTTCGCACCAGGGCCAGAGCCTCTGCCTTATGACTCTGCTGTATGTCCTTTTGTTCGATGGTATTTCCGTCACTTTGCTGGCTTGAATCGCGACTCTCCACGTTCGTTTTAGGTGTATCTGGAGATTTGGCAGCTACACAAGAAAAGATGAAGCAAGGAATCATGATAAAGCCGACAATTCGCATGGTCCAGGGAAATCCGATGTTGGGTTTGTTGATCAATCTGTCGATTGCAATGGGCCAGATAATTCCGCCGAGCGACGAACCCGCAAGAACAATCCCCATCGCCGCAGCGCGCTTCACTTTGATGTATTGTCCGACCAATGCGAGCATTGGCCATGTCGCCAAACCCATGCAAATACCAAACACGACGCCCTGGGCGAGCAGGAATTGATAGAACTCCTGACACAGTGAAATCATCATAAGTGCAAATACACACCCGAATGAGCCAACGTATACCATAAGCTGTTCAAAGGAAATATTAATTTCTTTCCCAATGATTCAGGAAGAATATCCGTACCTTTGGTCCAAATATATCAAGCATTGCTCCTGCGCCGACAGATGTCGCAAACAGAAAGAATATCGAAATAGCCCCAATCCATGCGATGGTAGATGTCGAGCTTGAAGATAGCTGGTTTTTTGCATAATACTCTTGGAAGATACCGAACGAGTTCATGAACCCCACTGTGCAAAAGGCACATGTGAAGGCGCCAAATATTGAAACCCATGCTCGTGGCCTAAAAGAGTCAGCGGTCAGCTATTTCCATTGCAGCTTAAAGCATATTCTACGTACGTGTATTCAGTTGGAGGACTATCCTTTTGTGACATATTGCTGGTCAATGGGAATCTTGAGGCCAGGAAAATGAACAGACCAATGTGAATATGCAATGGATCAGGCTTGAACAAAATTCATTGCGGAACGCCATGGTCTTTATAAGAAGTCGAATAATTGTGTTTACAAAGTAAAAGAATCGCGCTCGGAGTCTCCGGGCTCCTGTGTAGTCCGGAGGCAGAATTGACGGATTGGGTTTAGCGCCTCGGAGTCTCCGCGGAGTCTCCGTGCGAACAACTACACGCTTGTCTCCTGCGCGAAACAAACGCTGATCGCGCAATTCTTTTCGCTTTCGTTTTTCTAACTGCTTTTAAAGTGTTCTATATGAGATTCAAAACATGAAACGGAGACCTGATTCTGGACTCGTCACCCCAGGCTCGAAGAGACAGTCTCGACAAGACCCCGTTTCCTGCGAGTCCTGTCGAAAGAAGAAGCTAAAGTGCGACAGAGAGCTTCCATGCAGTAGCTGCTCTGCGCGGAGACTAGAGTGCAGCTATGGCGGCTACGGTACGGGCACAACGCCCGTGCAATCCACGATCCAAATAGATCAGAGGCCCGTGTTGCACAATCGCGTGTCTGAGCCACCTCGGACCGTTCAGTGGACTCCACGACAGGATACGGAGGCCCAAAGCCGCAATGGAAACGAGCCCCTTTTGACGGCCGATTGGCTTGAGACGATTGTTATGGGACATCGCGTTCCGAGTGCAGTACCTGCCACGCTGAGGGCAGAGCTCGCCCAGAACCGAGAATCGGACCGCTCGCCTTCACACCAAAATACCACACCTAGTGATCAATTTCCTCTGATGCGCGAACGACTCGCATCTCGCGAGAATCCAGCGACTATCCATCTACCGTCATATCTACCACCGCTGGCAGAAGCCCTGAGTCTATTTCGGTATTATTGCAGTTACCTAGACTTCCAGTATCATCTCATCATACCCAGTCATGTAAAACAACAAATCGAGACGATTTACGAGCATGTTGCGAGAAATGAGCCTATCAATTTGTCCCACACTGCGCTGCTATTCGCTATCACTGCTGCCGCCCTGTATTACCAACTCCTGATAGAGTCGCCCGAACAAGCAGAACCATTCAGTCAGGAAAGTACATTTTTGGCAGGAGCTGCATTAATTCAGAGCAATTATATCCCTTATCCCAGTCTTGAAGGACTGCAAGCGACTATGATCATTGGTCATCATCTGTCCAATATGAACGTGCCCTCCTCTGTCAGTCCATTATTTGTGCATAGGTCATTTGTGAGTCAAGCCACCAGTATGGGGCTTCATGTTGTGGACTGTCCTCGGGTAGTGACCGAACGCTCAGCAAATGGCTTTGATAAAACAAATGTTGAACTCAAACGACGGCTGTGGTGGGATTTGGCAACATACGACTGGTACGTTGTTAGCAGAGACCTTTCTAGTACTATGACTAATAATGTTCGAAGGTTGATAGGCTTTTTGAGCGGACCACAAGAGTGGACGTACTCGATCCACCCTAAGCATATGGTTGTACAACAGCCTCTCAATGTTGAGGATGAGGACATCGACCATAGCGAGAACGGTGTTCCTCTGTCCACTCCAACCGCAATGACATACAGTCTATGTCGATCGAAGTTGGCTGTTGTGTGTCGCCAGATAGTGGATGAAATGGCATACTACCATTTCCATGAACAAGAGGTACCCTATGAGAAGATACTTGAGCTCGATCAAAAGCTTCACAAAATATGCGCCGAACTTCCCAGTTTCTTTCGCTTTGATCAAACCTCTCGGCGTGAGTACTCAACGCTCTATCGTGAGAGGCCAACCCTTGCATGGCAGCGAGCTCTGGTACAACAGGGCTACTATTCACGGCTCTGTCGATTACATCGCCACTACTTAGTGCGTGGAGCAAAGGATCCCAAATATTCCTATTCGCATGTCGTAGCTCTTCGATCTGCGCGCAAGGTGCTTGAGGTAAAACGCATCATGGATGAGGAAGACCCTGTGTTCACACCGCACAGCTCAGTTATATGGGCAGTCATGCATCACGTGTTCATGGCAGCTGCCATCCTTTTGATAGATGTGTGCTTCAACTGGGATGACATTCTAGCCGATAAGCGAAAAGAGGAAGTACTTGACGCTTGTCGAATGCTCAGCCGCGCACAACAATCATCGCCCATCGCACGTGAAGGAATCAAGGCCATGATGGGTATCTTGCGAAAGCATTGGAAACACGAGAAAAGAGTAAGCTCTCGCGACCTGCAGGAGCTGTCTGCATCTTCGGATGCAAATTCCACAACAGCCAATGCCTCACATCCGGATATCCCCACGCCTGCTTCATTAGATCCCAAGAGCGTCGCATTTCCTTCACAAATTTCCAATGGTCAATCGACGGTGTGCCCTTCAGATTATGCATTGCTTAGTCCGTTGCCTCTTGAAGACTTATGGGCGGAGATGCTAGAGAGCAGCGCTAATGTTGAGCTGAGCACACCAGACTGGACAGACTTGCTTACCGAGTTGACAAATGTTACTTTTCCAAGCGAGTAATAGACTATCTGGTTGAGTGGACAATGAACATGTGAGATGTATGATTTAGTCGATCATGAGGCTCTGCTAGAAACCTAAGGCAGTAAGGCGCTGACAGATACCCCTCTGTTTTGATACTCCAAAATCAAAACAATCATTTGCCTCCAACCATCACCCAGACTAAACAATACCCAAAATCGAAGACATGTCCGGCAACGCCTCAGATAATACAACGGCCAGCATGAGACCTGACATTCAATCAATCGTCGACCGCATCAAGGGTGGAACAGTCACGCGAATTGTCGTCTTGACTGGCGCTGGAATCAGCACTGGCGCCGGAATCCCAGATTTCAGATCTCCAAACACAGGCTTGTATGATAAACTCGCTCCATTGCGGCTCCCATACCCAGAGGCAATTTTTCACATCAACTATTTCTCCCACACACCTGAGCCATTCTACGCAATCGCCCGGGCGCGTCACCCAGGAAATCTCAAACCGACTGTTACCCATGCATTTCTAGCATTATTAGCGAAGAAGAATCTACTCCATTTTCTTTTCACTCAAAATATCGATGGACTTGAGCAAGATGCTGGGGTTCCTCCTGACAAGGTTCTTTGGGCTCATGGAAACTGGAAGAGTCAACATTGCTATAAGTGCAATTCGTCATATCCTGACGATCTCATGAACAAAGCGATTCTACATGGTGAAGTGCCCTATTGTCTTGAGAGTGGGTGTGGGGGTGCAGTCAAGCCAGATGTTGTATTCTTTGGGCAATCTCTGCCGACTGAGTTTGACGAAAAGGAGAAGGAAGTTCTCGAAGCAGATCTAATGCTTGTCATGGGAACTAGTTTGCGTGTGGCACCTTGCTCTAGGCTGCCAGGTCTAGTGAAAGAGGGAATTCCTCGGGTGTTGATCAACAATGAAAAAGCAGGAGATCTGGGTAATCGAGACGAGGACGTGTGCATCCTCGGAAGTTGCGACGACGGTGTTCGTCAATTAGCTGATGCACTTGGGTGGGGAGAGGACTTAAACAGTCTTTGGAAGGAATCAGTCACTGCTAAAAAGGACGAGGAAATATTTGAAGGTGGCCCTAGCCTAGATGAGTGCATTGAGAAATTGGCGAGTAGCATGAAGGACAAGATGAAGGTGTCAGATGGGCACAAACGCATGTTGGAGAATCATTTGAACAGCAAGTTTGAGCAGATGATAGCGAGGGGCCCTGCAAGCTCATAGAAGAAGACATACATACTTTCGCTCAACCTTGGAACAGAATTATGCTCAACCCTGGGCACTGATCTATAAAATGATGCCACCATGATGTGACAGCATTTCGTCAAGGCTATTTACAACTTCCTAACTTGAAGCTCGCGACTTTTGATAAATCTCTAGCTTAATACCGCTCTTTTCTTTCTCGAATTTCACCTCTATCAGGTCATTATGCCCCCTTACGAGAGGAATCCCCTTCCCTATATCCGTCGCTACATCACCACCCACAATACCGACGGCGAATCAATATTTCTTTCCCATGCGCAAGTTCCCGACTATCTCCCATCCACACCAACCGGGGAAGATGGCGAGATCGCCCTACTATACGCTACAACCAATATGCCAGCCTCGGTTGATGCTGAGGCAGACGTCGCCCAGTATGACGAGTTCCTACATCAACCTCCAGGAATCACAGTTGATAACGGAACCATTTTCCGTCTGATTGATCTCCGTCCTGGAAAGGCGACACCAATGCATCGGACTGTGAGCGTCGACTATGGTGTGATAATTGAGGGAGATGTTGATCTCGTACTAGACTCAGGTGCGAGTCGACATATGCATCGTGGCGATGTGAGTGTGCAAAGGGGTACTGCACATTCGTTCCGGAACCGAAGTGATACAGAATGGTGTCGCATGCTGTTTGTGTATTTACCAATGGAAAAGATAAATATTCAAGGGAAGGAGCTGAAAGCGGAGGTATATGATGAGGGCTTTGACCATCCGGACGACGGGGGAAGCAATCAGGAGGATTCGAATGAGGTGAAGTGAATGACAACGAAGCTGTGGGACACAATTCATCAAAATATTATGTCAGTGGTATCTAGATTTAGATTTTTCTGCCGTCAGTCAGACTAAAAGCTTTCTTCTTGCCGCTTCATAGAGTTTCAGCCCCCATCTTACAAATCTCATGATTATCAATCAGGATAGCGCATACCAAATCCATGAACGACTGCAGACATCTTTAAAGTGCTTGGTAATCTTTGTTTCAGCCTCATTGAGTAGTCATTCCGTCAGTCCACGAAGCATATAAAGACAGCAAGCTCCCCCAGCTTGCTTTCTCTACTGCCATACTTACTCGCTTCTTTCGTTTCAAAGACTCTCTCCCAATACCTCTCGTCCTACTCATTCCAGAGACTTATTTCCTATCATGGACACTCCAATTCGTCGCGTTATCGTAGGCCATGATGCCCAAGGGAAAGCGTATTTCGCTTCCGACGAACATTTGACACCATACGATCCCACATCTGCTCCGGCATTCTCAACCCCGGGGCCTGACTCTGGATTTGGGGTTATCCAAATTCACCGGTCACGGGGCTTCCCAGTGGATAATATACGCGAGCTCTCTGATCCGCACAAGACTCTCGTCCCACTGGCTGACACCAAGGGTCCTTCCTGTCGCATCCTCGATCTACCCCCGGCAGATGCAGGCTGGTTCCATCGGACACTGAGTTTGGATTATGGTGTGGTGCTGTCGGGCACTGTTGGATTTATCACAGATGGAGGCGAAGAGAAGGTCTTAAATCAACACGATGTCATTGTCTGCCGTGGCGCAAACCATGAATGGGTGAATCGAGGCAAGGATGTTGCTCGGATCTTTGTGGTGGTTGTCCCTAGCAAGGAAATTGTGACGGAAGATGGGAAGAGATTGGAGAAGACGCCTGCGGGTGACATTTATGATCCTAAGGAAGAGGAAGATTGAGCTATGAGTAGACTTAGGATTTGTAAACAGTTAGGTATTACCCGGGTCTGTAGCACTCAGGGTTCTTTTGGCTAGGCAAAAAGGGAAAATAACTGAAATACTATTATAGACCCCTCAGTACATATGTGAGCAATATGATATACCTTTGTTCCACCAGCCTTGCGTAGGAAACAAAATTGAAGCTTTCCATGCATATATAAAATACATATATTTCTATCAAAATTATAGTTAGAAAAGCCCTTCCCCCTAGTTTATGTTTTACTGCTGCCTTTATATATATAGTCTCTGAAAGATATTTGAAAATATTACTAAAAAGAATGTTTAAAAGACATGATAGTCCTAGCGTGGCCGACGGGTCGAAAAGCTTCATTTTTTAGGTTAATAACGTATATTTATTTCGTACTCTACTTCGTATCTCTACGGATACTTCTCGGAAAATCGGAACATTCCGAGTCTCGGAACATGGACTTAAATTCCGACGGAATTAATTCCAGACTCCACGCGCCTTTTCTTTGACAAGTCTGGTTTTTCCACATTTGCCTTCAAAAGCATTTGCTGTGTCCTCAATCTCACGAATTCCACGTATACTCTTATTCTACATTCTTTTTTTTTTCTGCATCGTATTCTACTGTGTCGCCAATTGCCGAACTTGCAGCTCCAGACCAAATCGGGTACCCCGCATCGCAGATCTCGCCTTAACGCGCAGCATGGATCGCGACCAGTTCAAGACCGCGGCGCAATCTGCCATTGATGATAGTATGAGTCGTCCTATAATTGTGCAATTTGCAGGCTCGATAATATTCAGATCTAACCAACTGTTCGTGCAGTCATCAATTACTTCGACAGCGTGCCCGAGCGCCGAGTCCTGCCCGCCGTCGAGCCCGGATACCTTCGCCCTCTAATTCCAGAGAACCCTCCCGATGAGCCAGAGAACTGGGCACAAATCCAGGAAGATGTTGATACCAAGATCAAACCCGGCTTAACCCATTGGCAGTCTCCCAATTTCCTGGCATACTTCCCCGCCTGCGTGACATATCCCAGCATTCTGGGTGAGATGTATTCCGCCACGTTCACCGCACCCGCTTTCAACTGGTTGTGCTCGCCAGCATGCACGGAGATGGAGACCATTGTCATGGACTGGGTCGCGAAAGCTCTGGCACTACCCGAGTGTTTCCGGAGTACGTCAGAGACCCACGGCGGCGGTGTGATCCAGAACAGTGCGAGTGATGCCATTGCGACTATTATTGTCGCCGCACGGGAGAGGCGTGTGCGAGAACTCCTGCTTGCCGAGGGCCTGAAGGAGGGTACACCAGAGTATGAGGACCGCAAATTCGATGTCCAAGCCAAGCTGGTTGCTATTGCCAGTGACCAAACACACAGCAGCGGTGCTAAGGGTGCTTTGGTTGCGGGTACTCGCTTCCGTGCCGTGTCCACGCGACTGGAGGATAACATGGAAATGACCGCACCTCGTCTCCGGGAGGTTCTTGAAAAGTGCGATAAGGACGGACTTACCCCGTACCACCTCACTCTGACCTTTGGCACGACAAATACCTGCGCTGTGGACCACTTTGCGGAGATCAAGGCAGTTCTGCAAGAAAAGCCCGCGTGGCAGCGTATCTGGGTGCACATTGATGCCGCCTATGCTGGTGCATCACTCGTTGCGGATGAGTGGCAGTATATTGCGCAGAACTTTGCGGAGGGTGTTGACAGCTTCAACACGAATATGCACAAGTGGCTGCTAGTCAACTTCGATGCTAGGTAAGCTTTTCACTCCAATAGTCTGTGGCCAAATTTTGAACTTCAGTCTAACATTCCCAAGTGTTCTCTTTGTCCGGAATCGCTTAGATCTCACGAGTGCATTGGACATCACACCAACATATCTACGCAACCCATACTCGGATACGGGTAACGTAATTGACTACCGGAACTGGTCTATTTCTCTCGGTCGCAGATTCCGTGCACTGAAGATTTGGTTCGTGATTCGGAGCTATGGTCTCAATGGCATGAAGGCACACATCCGCAAGACCATCGGGTTTGGCGATCTCTTTGCTGGCTTGGTGCGCGGTCGGTCCGATCTATTTGAGATTGTCACAAAACCTGGCTTTGGCTTGACTGTCTTCCGCGTCAAGAACCCCCAGGCTGTATCTAATGGGGCTGGTGGATCATCTGATCGCGTAGCCAAAGATGAAGTTGCCGACGGTCTGACGAAGAAGATCTCCGAGTTGGTGAACACGCGGGGCGAAATCTTCATCACCTCTACAGTCATCGATGGTGTCTGTGTTATCAGAGTGATTAGTGGCAACGCTCTGGCTGAAGAGAAGTATATCCGTAATGCCTTTGACATTATCGTCCGTACAACAGAGGAGGTGTTGCAGGAGCAGAAGTGAGATGAAAATAATGATGATGATGTAGTAGATACAGACGCATGATGGTTGATGTCACCTATACATACATATCTAGACGATATCAAAGCATATACATACCAAAGTCTCTTGCGTAAAGTATCCTTGTAAGCAATCAATTAGAGCAATAAAATCCTCTCCTCTGTCCAACGTACCCTTCCAGCTTTATCTTGCTCCCCCACACTAGTGATGTGGAGATTGTGGATATTAACTCTCATCTCGCTTGCATATTCACCCCACGCGGGGTGGACACTAGTATAATAAGTTCATTCCTAGAAAGCACTTAGCAATATCCATCTTACCCTTCTAACTACACCTATACCAAATAATAATGTCTTCTCAAAAGCCCTCGTAAGTTGGTCTCTTCCCACCTACGTACGGAATTAGTGCTGATGCTCACAGTTACATCCTCGTGACCGGCGCCACGGGATTCATTGGTGCCCATGTCGTCGACAACCTCCTAGCCCGCGGGTTCTCAGTCCGAGGCTCAACAAGATCAAAGCAAAAGGGAGACCAGATGAAAGCTGCACGCCCGCAGTACGCTTCAAAGCTTGATTTCGTCGTTGTGGAAGACTTCGCCCAGATTGGGGTTTTCGATTCTGTAATGGATGGCATTGACGCAGTCATCCACGTAGCTAGCGTAGGCAACTCATAGTTCTTAGTTTCTGGCCAAGTGAACGTGCTAACACCTCTCACAGCCCTTCTTCTACGACACCACCAACAACGAGCAGGAATTAATTTTACCCGCTATCAACGGAGTCAAATCAATTCTTTCCGCCTCCACCAAGCCAGAATCAAAAGTTCAACGTCTTGTTATGACATCCTCCTTCGCCTCGGTGATCGACCCGAGCAGCACCCCGGAACCAGGATTCACGTATACCGCCGCAGACTGGAACCCGCTGACATACGAAGAGGCAATCGATCCGAAATCCGACTCGGTCACCGCATACCGCGGCTCTAAAAAGTTCGCCGAGCTCGCAGCATGGGAGTTTGTCAAGGAACATAATACCAAATTCGACCTGGTGACTCTCTGTCCTCCTATGGTCTTCGGTCCGGTCGTGCACCCCGTGCCGACGGTGGAGCAGCTCAACGAGTCAAATATGATGCTCTGGAATGTGGCGGCGGGTGCAGATCCGCTTCCTATAACGCGGGTCCCCGGTTGGATTGATGCTCGAGACCTTGCCGAGGTGCATGTTCAAGCTTTGCTTACACCCGAAGCTGGTGGGAAGCGATTTGTGGCTGCTTCGCCGGAGCCGTTCTCGTACGGATATGCTGCGGATATCATTCGTGATGAATTTGAGTGGGCGAAGGAGACTGTGACTACGAATTATAAGATGGGTGAGAAACCGAGTGGCTCTTATGGGATTGATGGGGAGACTGTAGCTCGGGAGTTGGGGGTAAAATACCGGCCCTTTAAGGAGACTGTAGTTGATTTGGTTGGACAGATTCGGGAACTCGCCGCATAGTTTACAGAAAGGTCGCCTTGAAGATATATGGGAGCTCTTCAAATGTCAACCCAAGGGAACACATGTAGGCGTTACACTGCATACTGACTACGGGGGACTTTCCTCTTGAAAAGAATGTATTTCCTGGACAATCCATTTTAGTAGTGCTTTCAGTGGTCTTTTTGGCAGTCTCATTATATATCTTTTTGCCCTTCTCGGGTTTATATACCTTAAGTACCTTCCGTGGCCCGTGACATCCGTACATTTTAGGTTCCAAGGTTCCAAGGTTCCGAAGTTGGTCACGAGGGCTTAGTATCCGAGCTCTATGATGATTTGCGAGAAAAGCCCGGCTGGCATTTGAAAATTAAATGGCTCGCTGTGGCAGACAATGCAAATGCTGCGAAAGGCCACCAGACTCTCGCCGGGTAAAGGGATGGGGACATTGCACAGTTGAATATACTTGCTGCTATCGCCAACGCGGATATGAGTTGCAGGATACAGATCGGAGGTTGTTCCAGAGTGAATTATATGTTTCGCGCTTATATCTGGGCGTTGGAGTGAAATGAGATATTGGCTCTCTCTTATATCTCAGTTGGCTTTCCAGGTAGCTGAACTCGCAACTTGATACACGACCGTTGAGTAGACACGGTCATTGCTTTGCATCATCAAGGCTGCTGAGCTTGGAACCTAGTAACGAACTGCATATACAAGCCGATGTTACCAAGCTATCTATCTGATCATTTCAAGAGCCTTGGTGATTATCAGGGACAAACCAAAGATTCTATTAAAACACACCACTGATTATATGTAAGCAAACCCTGTATGGTTTACGCTTTTTACCGCCTTCACACATACATCTAACCTTGGAAAGATTACCAAAAAGGCATTACAAGGCCGTATAAGCGGCCGACTATCCCTGTATGTACAAATTGCACTGTGAAGGTCAGTAAGATACAAGATACACCCAATGTAAACGTATTAAGAGACTTCCGAGGAAGCCGGTGCTGTAATCCCCGAATCTATTCACTAGCCCTTGGGGCTACATTAAGACACTCAAAGCGCTCACTTACTCCGTACAGATATATTAATTGAAGCTTGGAGTACTCCGTATAATGTCTCGTTTTTCTGCCAGCTTCAAGAAAGCACACATATTATTAGGGAGCTATGAGCGATTAACCGAACCATTCCAACAAAAGTTCCTCTTGGCAATGCTCATAAGGACCCGCCCCGGTTTTAGATCATCCCCGAAGGCTTCCAGCCCTGGAGGGCTGAGCCCCTTTCCCACTCGTAATCGTAACGCTTTGAATGGGTCTTTTCCATCCTTGGAAGGTTGTCGGCCTGTCACATCAATCTCTGCGGGGATTATTCTATCCAATACCCACGTAGAAACAGATCATCAAATGGCTGCCTTGTTTTCTCCACACAATTTCTGTCACAATTTCCTTCTAGATCATGGAGATCTGTCATTCAACTGAGTTGTGATTGGGTTTTCTAGTGGGGGGTAGAACTTCATGGCTGGACTTGTTTTTCGTAGTCTGGCCATAGCAACTTTGGATTGGTTATGTTGAAAATAATTGATATCCGCACACCCCTTTTTATTTGCGGCACCACTCTAAACTACTTTGGGTTTAGTCCGTATGAGGCCCGCCTTCACGTGACTGTTGATCCAACGTACAGTGGGGCTTTTGGTAGGGGTCCGGTACCGCCTTTTAGTTCTGCCGGTACTACCGATCTTGAAAATAGCTTGTCTTCTATCGAATTGACAATTAATACTGGGGGAAAAAAGCAAGAATAGGGTGATATGATTTATACATATCCTTACACATACATTCTATAGGTAAGAAATCACAAGATAGATCATTTTTCTTCAATATTCCGCTGATCGGAAGGGACGCTAGTGTATCTATGGTAGGCGGTAGGCCGACGGTGTAAGGCCCCCACACAACCCACTGTGAACTGCATAAGGGGAAATCATATCGAATTATATGATGGCCAAGAGCCGCTAACTTGGAAATGGTTTAAACAGGTGTGCCACAAGGAAAAGGGGTTGTGCCGCGATCATCTCGCATGTCGATAATCAATTCCCGCAACCCCAATTCATATAACACACGCTCATTTTCAAACTCTCGTTTTCACCTTCGGATGGCCATTCCGCCCTCAATTTTGGCATTTATATAGTGATTTTAATCTTCCATTCTTTTTAACGGCTTTTTTTTCATGATGACAACAGTGAATGGTTCCAACGATAAGAACCTTCATGACATCAGTACTTTCGCTGGAAGCTCAACAAGTGACGAACATGCCGCCCTGAATACTTCTTTCGAATCCGACCCCAGATCTAGTGGTTCCTATCCTTGTCAATATGAAATGAGCAGTGAGTCCTATACTTTGAATTGCTCTGGCCAAAGCTGATGTAGACTTCTTATCGTTATCAAGGACAAGCCGAGCTAGCCTCCACGAATTCAGGGTCAGACGACATCTTCCACAAAGTGAAAAACTTTCTTCGACCAGACAAAACACAAATCCCCGATGACGACGGTTCCTCTGGTTGGCCCCATCATGGCAGACCGTGCAATTCGATCTCCATATTCAAACGACAGACAAAACAGATTGTCAGCCCCAGGATCATCTTCTCGGGTGCATTCGCCGCATCGGCAGTCATTATCTCCAATACGCAAAGCCCGGCGCTTGTAATATTTATCTGGAACCTCCTTGCTATTGTGCCGCTGTCGATCACGCTCACAGAAGCCACTGAGAGGATCTCCAAGGATTTGGGTGAGACCGCTGGCGCTCTCCTCAACATCACCATAGGGAATCTAGCGGAGCTTATCATTTTGTGAGTCCCAACCTTGGAAGTGCCCTTGTTTCCAATCAATATATACTGACTAGCATATAGCGTGTAAGTTTACAGATCGCACCAAGTTGGCTGCCTTAGAGTTGAGTCGAAACTAATCTTCTATAGCACTGCTTTGATGAAAAACAACATTAAAGTAGTTCAATCATCACTCCTTGGCTCCATCCTTGTCAACCTCCTGCTCGTCCTCGGGTCTGCAATCATAGCAGGCTGCATCTCAACCAGCGAAGTGACGTATAACACTGATCTCACACAGTCATTTGTGGGACTTCTGAATCTCACAATTTCTTGCCTCATGATTCCAGTAAGGCAATATTTCAAGTATGCCAATGGCGTCCGATGCTAATCTTGAACATAGAGTGCCTTCTATGGCAGCGTGAAGAGCGTCACTTCTGCTGATCATATGTCATTGTCCTTCAGCAGGGGGGGTGTCCATCATCCTCCTCGGCACATACTTCTTATACCTTTTCTTCCAGTTCAAATCACACGCTCACTTGTTCCACTCAACCCGACTTCAAGTGCCACATCCGACCGATCCTCAGCAATATACAGACGACCTCGAATCGCATCCCACCCAAGTCGGAAGCGCAACGAGCAGAAACATTCGCCAGCTAGAGATGCAAGAGGTGCGGTCGCGGTCGTGTTCAGTCGACGCACACACAGCAGCAGCAATGCCACTGTTTCACAACGAGCCATCCGAAGGAAGAATGAGCCTCCACAGACAAGCGGAACCAGCCATTGGAGATTATGGAGCATGTAGCTGCGAACGCTATATTGTTAGGTCCAACCGAATGATATCAGTCACCCTCCTCGCCCTGTCAACAATTCTCATTGCTATATGTGCCGAATACTTCTCCTCGAGCTTCTCAACACTCAACGAACAAGGTGTCCTCGGTGAATCATTCGTCGGTTTGATTGTCATTCCCATCGCCGGAAATGTTGCCGAGAATGTTACTGCGGTTGTTGTGGCCTCGAAAAAGCAAATGGATCTGGCCATCAGTGTTGCTCTTGGATCAGCTATTCAAATCGGTCTCTTGGTTTCGCCTGCTATGGTGCTTATTGGCTGGGCTCTCGACAAGCCCATGACCTTACACTTCGATAGGTTCGAGATGGTCACACTGATTGGTGCTGTTCTTTTGGTCGATTTCATCGTGCTCAAAGGAAAGACCAATTATATGGAGGGCGCTATCTTATGTGCCTGCTTTGCGGCCATTTCGTATGTGCACTCTGTCTGTTTATCAAAGACTCAATTGCTAACATTCACGATATAGTGTTGGCGCATACTTGTTGCCGCTCACTTGAGACGCTTGTCTCAAGGACGCTAACCCGTGGACTATAGGGCGATGGTAGGACGGTCTGTTCAACTGGGCTTTTCAATTCTTACCTTCTGCCCCTCAATCTTCTTGTTATTATTCAATGTAAATATTAATTGTAGATAAACCCATGAGACCGATTTTAAATTTTAAATTTATTGCTTTACTAGTTCACCGGACTAATAGCTTTCGTGTCCCGCAGACCCACGCCGAAGCCACCCGCTGAAGAAGCGTCATTGGGGAAGTGAATATCAAGTTATGAAACATTCTTCTGATTCTGCTTGGATGCTATCTGTTCTAGCTTCATTCTAGCTTCTCGCCTTTCAAACATGGATCGTTTTAGATTGACGATCCTGTCACACAACTCCCGCCAAGCGAATTCGAAACAGGAGTTGAATATGAGGGACTATATGAGGGCCCACGGAGGATTCCATCCACTTTACCCCGTGTCTCGATATGATTTCAGTTAGATTGTCATTTCGTCATCTCGGTAACAGACTCATTCGGCTGATAACCTGCAACAAGACTTTCAAATCATCTCTTTCGCAAACCACATGGTGATAAGATGTACCTTCGGCAAAGATTGACGATCCGCAGTGGATATAAAGCAAACCCCCTTAACTCAACATAATCTACATGGTTTGATGTACATGATACGGATACGGGATACATTGTTCCATATTGCTTCGCTACCGGACCGAACGAACCTACCATCCGTGTTTTCCGAGCTCACCCATATTGGGTTTGCTGCGTCTCCAGGATTCCGATATCAACCCGTTCGGGGCAAAGAAGGATTGATTTGAGAGCAATCAATCAAGCCGTTGACATCCTTCCTGGTTCTGCCTGCCTCATTC